ACCACGCGCAATCGACAATCTGGAGCCAGCCACCCGTGAGTGCAACGAAGTCGAACCCAGCATTCGAGGACGCAATCTGCCTCAAGGACACCACGAGAGTGTTGGCGAACCCTGGGGTTTGCACGGCCGTGCGCGGGAGCTGCGCAGAGGAGTTCGGCACGGCTGTGATGAGCGGTGCCGCGGATCATTTGGCCTGGCAGTTCGAGAACTCGAGTTTTCCTGCAGCACAACTCCCTGACCCCACGGAGGAGCCCAGGAGTTATGGACCCGAGCCCGCGGAGCATGGTCATGGAGAGGTTCCCAGGGACGTTTCGGAGAGACCTGAGTGGGGCAAAACACCGCAGGAGGTTCGAGCAGAGATTCGCGAGGCACTGCAGAAGACGGTGAAGGAGGAGTCCATGCAGCACCCTGCGGAGGAGGAGGAGGTTGCAGCCTCCTGGTCAGAAATGGAGCTTCCAGAGGTGGTGCGGCAGGACATCATGATGAAGATTCCGCGAAGTACGCGACGTGCTGTGCGCAAGGCCCATCGCGGTCTTGGACACCCCAGCCGACCGACGTTCATCAAGATGCTGCGTCTCGGCGGTGCCGCACCTAACGCGTTGGCATACGCGAAGCATTGGCAGTGTCCGACTTGTGCTGAGTCGGAGGCGCCGCCCCGTCCGGTGCAAGGGACGGCGGATGTGCGACCATTCGGCTTCAATGTGACGGTTGTGATCGACGTGAAGTACCTACGGGACGCGGCCAAGGAGCAGCTGGTGGTCCTCAGCATGGTGGATGCCGGTACGGGATGGCACTGCGCCTGCCTTCTCAAGAATAGGACGGCCAAGCACGTAGCACGCCAGATCATGAACGAGTGGTTCAAGCATTACGGCGTGCCAGAAAACATCGTGATCGATCAGGGCGGCGAGTTCGAGGGCTACTTCAACGCGTTGATGGAGCAGTTCGGCATTAATACGAAGACGACGGGAGCTCATGCAGCATGGCAGCATGGCCTGGCCGAGCGCCACGGAGGATTGCTCGGCACTATCTGGGGCAAGGTGGTGCACGAGTTCCACGTCCAGGGCAAGTCGATGTCTACTGTGGCCCTGGCTGCCATCATCAATGCGAAAAACTCCACGATCAGCCGCAATGGATTGACCCCGGAGCAGGCTGTCTTCGGGCGGATCTTGAACTTTACGGAGGTGACTAACAGGGGCGACGATGAGGTTCTCATGTCGGTCCTCGGCGCCAAGGGCATAGCTTGGCGTTCGTCCCAAATCCGCACCGCAGCAAAGATGATGTTGCTGGAGCGCGACGCGACGGACAAGGTGCGGAGGGCGTTGCTACGACAGGCGCCGACGGTCGTCGGTGATCTGTGCCCAGGATCGAGGGTGTATTTCTGGGCACCGAATCCGTTCAAGGGACGTCGTCGGCAAGATCCTGAAAGATGGCGGGGTCCTGCGACTGTGATCGCGAAGGAGTCCAACAGCCGTTACTACGTATCCTGGCGTGGTCACGTGCTACTTGTTGCTCGTGAGCAGCTCCGGCACGCCTCCTCCCAGGAGGCCGCAGCTGCGGAGTCCATCCAGACGGACGTGCGACTGACACAGCAGCGAGATGACCGCGCTTACCACGACATCGTGGACGTCACGCCCAAGGTGAAGGTTCAGAAGGTGAAGAAGACGTTCTTGAAGAAGGAGCGTGACCGACATGGGGAGCTCGAGGGGTCCAGGCAGCCTCGTGTGGACCTGAGGGCCCTGGACGCCATTGAGGCACAGGCCAAGGAGGAGGAGCCGCCTGAGCAGCAGCAGCTGCCGCAGCTTCCCCCTCCGAAGAGGGAACGTTCTCGTTCCCCTCCAGGGCGGATATCCTCTGTAGAAGTGTACCCGAAGATTTCGCTTGAGCTCCTCGTGCCGATTTGGAAGACGCGTCTGCAGGCTGCTCCTACGAGTGGTTTGCCGGCCCTCCGCGAAGTGGCCATGAACGCCCACTCGGGGCCTCAGGAGTGGTTCCCAGCCTTGGATGGTGTCTCCACGCTCGTTCAGAAGGTCGTACGAGGAGTACGTGTACACCGAGAGCCACGGCGGAGACTCTATGATCACGACCGCCACCGGGAGTGCAATCGCCTCTCGGTGAACGTTCCTGGTAGATGACGTGCCGATTTGCATAAGAAGACGCGTCTGCAGGCTGCTCCTACGAGTGGTTTGCCGGCCCTCCGCGAAGTGGCCATGAACGCCGTTGTGCACTCGGGGCCTCAGGAGTGGTTCGACCAGAATGCCTTGGATGGTGTCTCCACGCTCGTTCAGAAGGTCGTACGAGGAGTACGTGTACACCGAGAGCCACGGCGGAGACTCTATGATCACGACCGCCACCGGGAGTGCAATCGCCTCTCGGTGATGCTCTCCGCTACGGGCCAGTGTGCCTACAAGGACGACGGCGCGAACCGTACCAACGAGCGCACGGAGGACAGCTGGGTTGGTCTCACGCTTTTCTACCACGACAAGCCGGACGCTCATGCACAAGGGGTGTACTATTTGGACACTCCGGAGGGGCTTGTACGACAGCCGATGACTTACGAAGAATGGATCAACGTGTCATCTGTGTATGACGCATGGCTGCAGGAGGCCAGGTACGAGCACGACGTGTTCGCACTCGTGATGAAGCAGAACGCGAAGGAGCTAGACCCACGTCACTTCAACCAGCACGAGAAGGCTAAGTTCGACGAGGCCGATGCCGCCGAGTGGCGGCAATGGATCGCCAACAACACGGTCGAGCTGGTCACCGAGGAGGAGGAGAAGAGCATCCCGAAGGACAAGATCATCTCGGTGCCCATGCGTTCGGTTCGCACGAACCGGGGACGAGGGCTGGAGCTGGAGGCGAAGTCTCGCTTGATCATCCCTGGCCATCTCGATCCGCAGCTTGGTCTATTCAGGACGGATTCGCCTACTACTTCCCCTTTGGCTGTGCTGGTGTGTGCGTCTATCACAATGGCGATGGATTGGACATTCGAATGTTTCGACGTAGCGACTGCGTTCCTGTCCGGGCTGAAGCTGGAACGGGAGCTGTATGTGAGGGCTCCTAAGGACGGGCTTCCAGCCGTCGACGGTGCTGGATGGCCAGCCGTGCGGCCTTATGCGTTGCTGCGCTTGCTGAAAGGGGCGTACGGTCTGACTGAGGCGCCTCGGTTGTGGTATCTCCGAGCCCGCCAGGTGTTGACGGACGAGGTCGGTTTCGTGGAGCTGCGCTGTGCTCGAGCTGTCTTCGTTTATCGAATGAAAGACAAGTTGATCGCTATGTTGACCTTGCACGTCGATGACGGCATGCTGTTTGGAGACCCACACGATCCCCAGTACCAGGAGGTGAAGGCGAACATCAACAGTCGTTTCAACATCAAGCACTGGAAGAAGGGCAACGACAAGGAGGCAATCGCCTATCTCGGTGAGGAGTGGTGGCGCCACCCTGATCACATCGAGATCAGCATGCACGAGTACATCGGCAAGCTGACGAGGCACCCCCTTGCAAGGGGTGACAACGAGGAGCGGGAGATGACTCCCGAGGAGCACCACGACTACCGGAGCTTGCTCCAGAAGGTGCGGTGGCCTGTCGCACGCGTGGTGCCACAACTCGCGTATAGTGTCTCGGCGCTCGCACAGAAGGATCCGAAAGGTCGGAGGTTGCTGCACCTGCGAGTGCTCAATGACATCATCGACCGGCTTCAGGACTACGACAAGAGAGGTCTTGCGACTCTCCGGATCCGCCGTGTGGACATCGAGCGCTTGCAGGTGCTCACGCTTATGGACGCTTCGTTTGCGAAGGAACCCGGCTGTAAGAGCCAGATGGGGTTCATGAGTATGATTACGGACACCCGAGTTTTGAAGGAGCTAACCGTATGCTGTCTAGTGGAGTTTCAGAGCAGTACTATTACACGAGTTGTTGGATCTACGATGGCCGCAGAATCTGCGGCTATGTCCGTGGCTTTGGATCGGCAGCTTTACCTCAGGCTGCTGATTGAGGCAATCTTGTACGGGGAGCCGCCCTTGCAAGGGGACTGGAGGCTGGCGCTGAAGGTTCCAGGGGCGCTCGTGACGGATGCGAAGTCGCTCTACGATCACACGTCCAAGATCGGGTCGATGCCGGTGTCTCGGCAGACCCTCATTGACTTGCTGGTGGCCAAGGATTTGATAGAGCAGGAGGCCATCAAGTTCAAGTGGCTGCCTAATAGCCACATGCTAGCGGATGTGTTGACAAAAGCCGTGCAGCCTAACGAGGTACTATCGCAGTTCCTCCGCCACGGCCTGTTCAGCATGGTGCCTACTGCTGAGCAAGAGGATGAGGAGGCACACCGTCTGCGGCTGCGCCGCGGACAGCGTGAGCGAGCCAAGGAGCGGAAGGCCCAGCGTCGGGTCGCCGTTCCAGGGCCTGCGAGCCCGTGAGGTCCTGATTGCAGCTGCTGATGGACCTAGTGAGGGCTACGGTGATGTATGCATATCCTTTGAGTTGATCGTCTGGAGTAGTGTATCCAGATATTCATATTCTTGTATTTATATTTTGAGCCTCAGGCCGCACCTTGCTTGAGGTGTCTCATGCATATCTTTTGAGTTGACAGTCTGGATTGGTGAATCTAGACATTCATATTTATATTTCGAGCCTCAGGCCGCATCTGCTTGAGGTGTTTCGGCCCGTGGGCTGATATACATTATAATTGCGTGCAGCGTTGCCCTTTCAGAGGGAGCGGCATCGGGGCAGCATTGTACTCACCCAGTGTGAAGAGTGCACTCCCCTGCCCCTCTGCCGCCCGTGCCACCATGTGTGTATGTTGCACACGCTTGTCTTGTTTTGTGGCATGCACGCTGCCCGCCGCTGTTTTGGCCTTAGTCCTAGGGCCCTGGGACGCACCCGCAGTTGGACTGCCGCGCGGTCTTTGCTGAAAACAACTGCACTGACATCTGTCTCTCTCCCTCTTTCTCTCTCCCTCTGTCTCTCTCTTTCTCTCCCTCGCTCCGAGCTCGTCTGGACGGGAGGCTCTGGATGGTCGGCTCGGGCCTGGCCTACCTGATCGACGAGCAAATGGGGTTCCCCTTTATGGCGTCGAGCATGGGCGGCGCGGCGATCACCGCCGCGCTGTCGCCGCAGAAGCCAGGCACGCGGCTGGTGGTCCCTGCCGTTGCTGCTGCTGCTGCTGCTGCTGCTGCTGCTGCTGCTGCTGCTGCTCCGCGTCGTCGCCTCTCCGCGCCTCCGCCTGACATTTACTTCTGCAAAGCTCACATCTGCTGCATCGGTATATCACACATTCTGCTTCGGCTGCCTTGTCGGTCTTCTTCCTGTCGTTGTCTTCTTGAAGGCTTGTCCTGCCCTGAGTGCTCTCCTCTGTCGCCCCGCCGACGAGGCTCTCGCTCCACTCCACTCCGCTCCTCTCCGCCGCTGCTCCTCCGGTCTCTCTTCGAGCGCGCCTCTCCGCACACCCGAGCCCAAATGGGGAGCTCCAGCGACGCCACGTGGCATGCAGCTCGACGTGGCGGAGCAGCGGAAGTACGGTAGGTTCGTGTCGTGTCGACCGGCGGCGACCCCGCCAGCGGCGTTCAACCTTGAACACCGCGGGCGACCCAGAATCGATCGATGTTGAACGATCGGACGTTGCGGCAGCGGCCGATCGTTCAAGGTTGAACGATCCAGCGCGGTGTCAGGAACCAACGCCAGGGTCGACGCGGCGGAGCAGCGGAAGTATCTTGGCAGTGGTGCTGCAAGACGCCGGGCGGCAGCGTGTAGGTCACCGACTGCTTCCGGTGATGTGAGTCTTGGCATGGTCGGCACCTCCACGTGCGCGGTGCTTCTCGCAGTCGAGCATGTAATTTGCGCGGGTGAAGAGGATCGTTCCCGAGAGATAGCATATCTTCTCTGTCCTATGCGTAGGTGCGACTTGGATGTCACCAGCCTGAACGGATACATAGTATGTGGAATACTTCCGGTCGTGTGATCAATGCTGCGGTCACGCAGCGCAGTCTTTAGCATAACCATTTCTCCTAGAACCAGCGAGCATCAGTCTCTTGTGCTTGAGTCTTCGCCCATACACGCTGGCGACATGAGGTGTGAGTGCAACTCGTTAAGCACGTACGTACATGACTAAGACCTCCGCGCAGTTGAGAGCCTACCAAGTGTAAGTTTCAGAGTGGGTCAGCACGCATTATGTTGCACCACTTCTGCGTGATAGTTGCTGTGCGAGCTAAACTTCTAACATCTGCGATGATAGCTTCATGTGCTTGGCGGCGAGCGAGGAGGGGAAATAAGAAGGAGACGACCTTCTCAGAAGGCGGTGGGGTTTCTCAGAAGCCCTCGCGCATTCTGAGAGCTTTCTGGTGTCAGCAGGGAGGGCTTAGAAACTTCTGAGAAGGCTGGGGGACTTCCGAGCCTTCTGAGAAGGCCCGCCCCTTCTCAACTCGCCCAATCACTTGCCACCGAGGTAGGTTGGACCAGGTCGTGCCGGGCGGGGTGGGAGTTCAACATGCAGTGTGTGTTCGAGGTTCCATTCGGAGCGACGGCTTTCTTTATTGGGCTGTCGGCATAATCGTGTCCTGTCGTCCACGGCGTTTCTCTTGGTTCAAGGTTGGCTCTACCGCATGGGCCCTCGCCAGTTGGACCGTTGAATGTTTATGTTGATGGCATTGCTTCATTCTCTAAGTTCAGCGGCGAGCCTGGATGGGGGGAGTGAGAAGGGGTGGGGCTTCTCAGAAGGTTTGGTAGTCCCCCAGCCTTCTGAGGAGTTTCCTAAGCCTTCCAAGAAGGCCGGAGAAGACCTCTCAGAAGCGCGAGGTATTCGGAGATGTTCCGCCGCCAATAAGGGCTGTCGTCGTCGGAATCCTTCTCCCCCCTGCCTCGCCCTGCTCTCCTTCCCCTCCTCCTCCTTCTCCTCCTCCTCCTCCTCTTCCTCCTCCTCCTCCTCCTCCTCGTCCTCCTCCTCCTCCTCCTCCTCCTCCTCCTCCTCCTCCTCCTCCTCCTCCTCCCCCTCCTCCTCCTCCTCCTCCTCCCCCCAGTCCGTCGCCATTTTGGCTCATGATGCTTTTCCCCCAGGGAGCAAAATGGATACCGGAAGTCCGCGGCCAGTTTCAACCTTTTCTCGCCAGAGCCTGACCCGCCTCAGGTCTTTGGGTGCCCCCTGCTGCCCGCAGGTGGGCACGCGCGCGACGTGGCTTCTGGCTCTGTGGCTGGCCTCGCTGTACCTCCTGGGCACGGGCGGGGGACCATGGCGACTGGAGGCCGCACCGAGTCGACGCCCGATTGGTACTGCAAGGTCTGCAAGTACGAGCGGGGGCCCAAGTTCGGGATGCCGTGCGTCACGTTCGGGGCGATGAAGCAGTGCCACTTCTGCGGGGTCGACATGTCCGTGGTCTTCCTTAGGAGGGCCTGTGAAGATGAAGGTGTCCCTCGTCGCCACCCGCCGAACGGCCCAGGTGCCGCTGGTGGGACTGGAGACGGGGCTCGACTGAGCTACTTGCAGGTCGCCCAAGGATCCATGCAAACGGAGATGGCAAGGCTGCGGGGGGAGGTCAAAGTTCTGCGGGCTGCCAACAAAGGCAAAGGGCAGCTCTCCGAGGCGGCGAAGGCCACGGAGGAGGACGATGCTGATGAAGCCCAACGCAAGGCCCTGGCGCAGTTCGACAATGAGCCTGCGGGGCATCCAGATACCGTCGCAATACGTCAAGGACACCATTGACAGGCTGGACGAGCAGGAGTCAAATTTGCTGGAAGGGGGTCCGTTCGAAGAAGCCTGTCCTCACCCAGCTGGTGGCGCTGCAGAGGAAACTTAAGGCGAAGCAGGATGCGATCGTCAAGCAGGGGAAGGTGGTCGCCAAAGCCGAGGGGGCGGTCACTAATGCCCAGAAGGCGCTTGAGGATGAGCGCGAGCGGGGCAAGGCGCTGCGCGTCGAAGAGCTGGAGCTGGAGGCGAATACGCTGGGCCTCCACGCCGTGGCCCCCAAGCCGCCGGACGAGAAGGATACCCCCGTCGAGAAGGGCCCGGACCTCAACTTGGAGGGCCTGGTGGCGCTGCTCAAGGAGTTCGGCGCCACGGGCGAGGTCACGGAGCGCGTCCTGGGCCACCCGGAGCTCGCCGAAAAGGTGCTGGCCCAGCCACTTATTGAGGAACGCACTCGGCCTGCTCCCGGTGGTGTCCCTGGAGAAGCTGGCGGGCAGGTGCCTGGCCCCAAGCGTCCCAAGTGCGCTGCGGACAAGGCGCCCATCGAGACGCTGCGGGCCAGCCTCAGCGAAGCGGGGGTGCAGGACCCTGAATGCGAACGTGCCATCGGGACACTGGCGCGCAATACGGCAGCAGCGCCAGCTAGTGGGCCTACAGGGCGCACCAAGGCAAGAACTTACAGGCTGGTGTTTGTCAACCCCGTTGTATTGGTGATGACGCAAGCTACAGCATCAGTACGTGCGGCGGGCGAGTTGGGCACCGCCAAGGGAGCCCTGACCACGGTCAATGCCTCATTCGGCGAGGGCTGACGGAGTACCTCGCCGACGCCCCTGTTCGCGGTGCAGGAACACAGAGTCTGAGAGCCCCCGGTGACAAGTTGGATCCGCTGCAAGGCCAAGCGCGTGACCTGGGCGACCTCGAGGAGGCGAGGACGCTTGCAGGCCATGTCCACTGGGGGGCGAAGGGGGGCCTGATCGTCGTCGCGGCGCACCCGAGGCACACTGTCGGCATGGGCGGCGACAGCGGCGACGCTGTCCACAAGCTGGGGCCCTACCTCCGCGCGCTCGACGCGCGCGGACTGGACTGGGTGGCCTTGTCGGGATTGGAATATGGATCTCGACGCGCGGGGCCATGGCTGGCTCAGGGGGCCATGGCTGGAGGAGGCGCGGGGCATCCCCATTGCGCCGTCGGAGCCGACTTGCTGGCAGGCGGCGGAGGGCCCCCCACCCTGGACTGCGTAATCGCCGCCCCGAACTTCGACCCCAGGCTGGGCGAGGCGAGGGTGGCCACCGACGCGGCGCTGCACCCACGCTGCCCAGTCCACGTGTACGTCTCCACGGTGGACCGCGAGGCCTATGTGCGGGTGGCAGCCGAGCCGCGTGGATTCGCGGCGGTAGCGCAAGTGGGGGCGGCACCCTACCCACGTCAGCGCATGTAGGAGACGGCGCCCCAGCAGGTCCTCAGCGTGTCAAATTCCAGCGAGTTGGAGCAGGCTTGGGGCGCAGTGGTCAGCGTGGCGGAGGCGGAGCTCTGCGATCGCTGGCACCTGGTGGGCGAGGAGAGGAGGCAGCGCGCGAGCAGGGGGCGCGGGGCCGCCGCCAAGCTCGCCCAGCCCAAGTGGCAGCCGCCCCGCAAGAGCAAGCTCCACGACCCGAGCGTGAGTGCGCACATGGTGGCGGCACGGTGGGCGAAGCACCTGGGCGCTTGTCGCAGTCGACGCATCAATTTGCTGGACGCTGCTGGTTTGGGCGAAATCCCGAAGGGCAGAGGGGGCAGGGATTCAGACCCTGGTAGTCACGCCCCGATGCCCGCATGCTCTACGACTTCGGGGCTGGCTTCTTCGTCGGGGTGGTCGTCCAGCGCCCCCCCCCCCCCCCCCCAGATGGCCGGGGACGCCCCTCCCCTGGGCCGCGGGCAGCGACGAGGCAGATGAGTTCGTCGGCCGGGGCATCGGCGTCGAGGTGCACCCGCGGCTCCTTTGGGGCACCAGAGGTCGCCGCGTGCACTTCGGGTTCGTGCTGGAGCGCGCGTGCAGCCGCGCGACCGCTCCGCGCGGTGGAGTGGCGAACAGGAGCTCAAAGATCAGATGCCCGAGGTGCACGTCGATGGGACGCAGGCGCAGGCCTAACTGTGGCAAGAGGCCTCCCGCCACGCAGGCGGTCGAGCCTGGCGACGGGCTGCGCGCTGAAGGGCCTGCAGTGGAAGTGCACGACCCACCTGCCTGCCGAGGGACGGGGCGGCGGTGCTGGCCTTGACAGAGGAGGAGATGAAGGGGGCGGAGTGGTCGGTCGGGATGGGGAATGCCGTCGCAGCGCCCACGTCTCGGAGCCGTGCCATGAAGGCCCTGCAGCAGAAGGCGGTGGATCTCGGCTTGCCAGGGGGGGGGGGGGGGGGATCGTGGCGCAGTGGTTAGTCGAGGGGGGGGCTGCCATCGCGGCGCCCACGTTTCGGAGCCAAACCTGCGCAGAGACGAGCATCACGGAAGGGGCAGCGTGGAGAAGGTCGTCGAGTTGTTCCTGGAGACCCACCGAACGGCGACGCGGCGAGGTCGGGCCGAGTCAAGAGCCAGCTCCCCGCTGACATGGTGCAGTGGTTCGACGGAGGCCTTGCGCAGATGGGCCAGGTCCAGTGGGGCGCGCAGGTCACAGGGACCGCTGACGACGCCCAGCGGCTCACCAGGGGCCACAACAAGGAGAGAGATAGGGAGTGGCGCAACTGGGCCGACAAGACCCTGGGCGGAGGCGCTAGGGCGGCGCACGGGTTCACCAGGCAACCAGCGGCGGCCGAGGTGTGGAGGGCCACCGCGCGCGGCAGCCCGCGCCAGATGGTGGACCGCGAGATCCAGGAGTGGAAGGACGTCTGGACCTGCCACGAAGAGCCACCCTTGGCGAGGCTGCCTGGCTGTGCCAAGGATGGGGGAGCTGCCGAGGAAGGGGGTGGAGCACCTCCGCAAGGCCGCGCTCAGTTTCAAAAACGGGACTGCCGTCGGCCAGACGGGCGTTGCCCCGAGGTCCTTGCGCGTGTTGTCCGCGCTCCGCAGTCGGTGTGAAAGTCTCGGGGCGTGGCCGACGACCAGGTTATGCGCGGCGCTAGTTCGGCTGCCCAAAGAGTGGAGGGTGCGGGCGGATTGCCCTTGCCAGTTCCTTTCTTCGGTTATGGGCCAAAGCGAGATCGACGATTTCGAGGGCTTGGTTGGTAAATGCAGACGTCTCTGGGGTTCGGGCGGAGCGTCGTCGGCGGCGGCCTTCCCCCGCAGCCTCGTAGCGGAGGTTGCGACCCTCAGCGGAGTCCACAGCGTCGCGGTGCTCCTGGATGCCTGGAAGGCGTTCGAAAGCCTCATAGGGAAGCAGGTGCTGGGCGAGGCCGATCGTGGGCTACCCGCAACGCCTCATGTGGGCGATCCTCAGGTACCACCACTTGCCGAGGCGCCTGAAGGCTTTCAGCTCGCTCTCGAAGAGCTACATGGCGCACCGGGGTATTCTCGCGGGCTGCTCCCACTCGATGGCGGTGCTGGTAGTGGCGTCGGCCAGGGCACGACAGCGGTCGGCCCTAGTGCGACGTCATCCCGAGGACCCTGCGGACAACACCTCCGCGCAGCGGGTCGGCATGGACCTGCAAGGGGTGCGCGTGCTCTGCGAGGCCGTCAAGCGCACTAAGCACGTCGTCGAGGACGTGGGGCCGGTGCTGCAGGTGCTCAAGTCTGGCTGCGTGGCGTCGACGAGGCAAGGGAGGGTGGCGGCCGAGCCGTTCGCCAAGCGGGTCAAGATCGAAGCCTGTCAGCATGTGCACAACCTGGGTCACGACCTCCATGGGTCCAAGGCGCGGGGGAAGGTCGCCAGGAACAGGCTCAGGGAGCTGCGGCCACGCATGCGGCGGCCAATGAAGCTGAAGCGGGTCGCAGGTGCCAAAGTGTCGTGCCTGTGGCAGACAGGGCCCCTGCCAGCTGCGGCCCACGGCGCTGCCGTGTTGTGGAAGGCCCCGTCCGAACTGGCTGCGATGCGCACCGAGGCCGCGCGGCTTGCAGGTGCCGAGGGCCGAGGAGGCAGCATCGCGCTCTCCCTTGCCATAAGAACCCGTGCTACGACCCGATTTTCGCGGCGACGGTCGAGCCGCTCATGTGCCATGCGAGAGTGATCTGTCAGCAGGAGATCGGTGGCGCGCGCGCTGGCAAGGGCCGAGGCCGGCGAGGTCAAACTGACGTGGGCATCGGCACGAGGCCTGCTCAAAGTAGTGATCCTCTCGCTCAAGCGGGTTGGGTGGGTCTTGCTTTCGTCGCTCATGATCAAGCCAGGTGAGGGTCCTGTGATTTCACTCCTGGTCACGCCGCCTCGATTCTTTCTGGATCTCGGACAGGGGATCCAGCGCTGGCAGACGCGCCAGATAGCTGAGCACCATTCTGCTGTACCGCCGAGCCGCCCGCTGTGGCCGAGAGGCCTTCGTGTCTGTGCGGGGGAGAGGTCGGCGTCGGGGACGCTGGCGGGACCGGCGGGGGCATTCCGCAGCCTGTGGTCGGACTCTCTCTGGCCCAAGGCCAAGCTCTACATGCACGGTCTGTGTGGCGATTCGGGATGTAGAGCTTGTCCGCACGAGGCTGGGGCGGTGCGTTAGGCCATGCTTTCATCGAGTGTCGTGCGCTGACACAGCGCCTGCTTGAGGATGAGAAGGACTGTGGCCTCGACCCGAGCTTGGCGTCAGCCCGTGACGCGATGCTTGAGCACGGGCCGTTTGGAGAGGGGCCGCAGGACCTCGACTCGTTTGCTGTCTCGATCGGATTCCCGCGGTGGCCCAACGCTGAGGCGCCGCAGCCGCCGAACGCAGTTCGATCTCATTCCCATTGCAGCCCCGCGCGCGCTTCGGTTGTCCGAGTTCACTTCGCTGGCACAGCGGCACCTCTTCGCGACTCGAGCACGCCTCCTCCTCCTCCTCCGCCCTCCGCCCTCCTCCTCCTCCTCCGCCCTCCTCCTCCTCCTCCTCCTCCTCCTCCTCCTCCTCCTCCTCCTCCTCCTCCTCCCCTCGGCCTCGCCTTGCCCGCCAGGCGTGGTCGTGTCCCTCGGCTGCCTCGGGCTGCTCGCCTTCTTCGCTCCGCTGCCGAAGGAGCCGGGCGGCGCAGGCCTGCGAGAGGCAGCGAGGAGGAAAGGAGGAGGAAAGGAGGAGGAGGAGGAGGAGGAGGAGGAGGAGGAGGGGGAGGATGGGGGAGGAGGAGGTGGAGGAGGAGGAGGAGGAGGGCGGAGGAGGAGGAGGCGAGGAGCGAGGAGCGAGGAGCGAGGAGGAGGGCGAGGGGGAGGAGAAAGAGGAGAAGGGAGGAGGGGGAGGAGGAGGAGGAGGAGGAGGAGGGGGAGGAGAGGAGGAGAGAGAGGAGGAGCGAGGAGCGGGAGCGAGGAGCGAGGAGCGAGGAGCGAGGAGCGAGGAGCGAGGAGCGAGGAGCGAGGAGCGAGGAAAGGAGGAGGGCGAGGGGAGGAAAAGGAGAAAGGGAGGAGGAGGAGGAGGGAGGGAGAGGAGAGGAGGAGGAGGAGGAGGGAGCGAGGAGCGAGGAGGAGGGCGAGGAGCGAGGAGCGAGGAGCGAGGAGCGAGGAGCGAGGAGCGAGGAGCGAGGAGCGAGGAGCGAGGAGCGAGGAGCGAGGAGGAGGGCGAGGGGGAGGAGAAAGAGGAGAAGGGAGGAGGAGGAGGAGGCGGAGGAGGAGGAGGAGGAGGAGGAGGAAGAAGAAGAGGAGGAGGAGTAGGACGAGGAGGAGGAGGACGAGGAGGAGGAGGAACGAGGAGGAGGAGGAGGAGGAGGAGGAGGAGGAGGACAGCGCAGGCCCATCGAGGCGGCCCATTGGACTACACCTCTTGGGCTTGGTATTGCTCGGACCTTTGCATTGTTTCTCACCGCCCACCAAGCCACCCCGACCCAACCCGGAGGCCCCAGCTTGCTCTCCATTCCTGGCGGGGTGGGTGGGGGGGCGCTAGAGGAAAAGCGAACAAACACACGTGGAACCCGTGCCCCCCCAACCCGAAATGTGGGTCTTCGGGTTAGGTTGGGGTGGTCTGGTCGATAGTCATCTTCTCGGCGAGGACCATCGAGGAGCATCCTGGATCATTGAACAAAACAACTCGCCTGGAAACAACAAATGTACAGGGATTGCACGTCCGAGCGATGGCAGGTAGGAGGTTGAACTCAGCATCGGCGTCGGTATAATCAGCGGCGAGCCCCGTGGAGGGGGCATGCCTTCTCAGAAAGCGGGGCTCCTCGCAAGCCCCACGGCCCGGGATGCCGTTTCTGTTTTCGGAGAAGGTTTTGAACATGTCTCAAAAGGCGGGAGGGTTTTGAGAAGCGCCGCCGATTTTTGCGAAGGCCTGCCCCATCTCACTTCCCCCCTTGCTCGCCGCCGAGTCGAAATTGTTGTCCGTTGGGCTGGAATGCGTGGTAGGTTGAGTTAAGGATCGGCGTTAGTATATGTCACGTGGTCGAATGCTGGCCTTTTCCGTCTGTGTCCAGTCTGGTGAAGTTTAGTCGTGGCCACGGACGTAACCAGGCAGGGTTCAATTGGGCTCAATCTGGCCTAAGAGTTTTCTCATTGGGCTTATTCGTGCGTTTCCGCTCTCACGAGGGCCTCCCACTTCCTTGTAGGCCGCGTTCGGGGGAATTCGGGCTGTACGGGGGAGCTGTTGCGGGAGTTGTGGGTGATTGTTCTCGTGTTCATGATTCTGGAGACGAAGCTGGACCCTCGGGGTTCGCACAAGAGGATGCACCGTGTTCCACGTGGGAGGGGAAACGTGGCCGCATCGCGGAGCGGTTGAGATGAGATGGCAACAGCCAGGCATCATGGTTGACTGGGACTTTGGGGAGGGGTGGATGTGGAGATTGGTCTGGAGTATGGAGGATGGCCGATCATGCGGATGCGGGGGAGGGGAGGAGGGGATGGGGAGCAGGGGAAGGCCCGGGGGTATCACATTAGCTTGAGCAGTGTGGGCATGGGTGTGCGGAAGGGATGGAGGAATTCGGTAGCAAATCATGGGAGCCTGGTATACCCTCTTAATTCCGTCTCGAGCGTCGATAAGCGTCTGGGAGTCGACGAGATAGCGCTGATTTAGGGACTAAGCAGCGTCGATTAGCGTCGATTTAGCGTCGACTAGCGTCGATTCGCAAGTGCTGACAAGATGGATGGACGGCCCCCATGAGTTGCCGCCACCGAAGAGTAGTGGAGGGACGGGATGAAATGGTACGGCAGCAGTGGACGGAGAGAGGCTCAGCCCCGCTGCAAGGCGACGGCTCGTTTGCAACTTTGCACCCTCGTTCCGTTGGGCGTCGCGGAAGTCCACGCCTGAGCAAGATGAAGGAGCGCCATTGGAATCTACACCGCGGATCCGGTTGATGGGCAACATCTTGCACCAACAGCGCGAGTGGGGTGCTGGCACAAGCTTTAGCGCGCCCCCAGGGCGCGTCGCCAGCAGGGCGCAGGATTCCGGCCAGTCGACAGGTTGACACATCGCGGCGCAGGCCGCCAATGTTGAATTGGGGGCGCAGGGCATTCACAAACATCGGCAAAGCAGTTGACACGAATCTTTCCGCCACCTGTCCCGGTGAAGGCAGCGACGGCCTGGGAGCGTTCTCGCGGCCGAGGCGCCAGACCAGCGCGGGCGACCCTGCGTCCGCGCGAGCGCAGAGCAGTGAGATCTCGATGAAGGCCAGGAGCTCGAGGAGGAATGCGCAGCTGGTGGATGTCGACATCGGGAGCCCCTTTAGGGCCTGTCAGGCGCTGAGGCGCTCGGGGCTCTCTCGGGCGCGCTGGTCCTGCGAAGCTGCCATGCCAGCAAGGATTTCCTCCCCAGCCGTCCGTCGATGCCGAGTCTTATCGTGTTCTCCCGTCTCGCCTTACCCTTGTTCCCTTAGTTGCCTCGATACGCCCGTTTTGAAACGCAACACGTCCGTGTCAATACGTTGCGTGTCGGCTCTACGTATTGGACCACGTTTTGGCGAATGTATCGCGTCGGACCCACGTTTTCAGCCTACGTGTTGAGCTCCGTATCTATACGATACGTGTTGCGTGCTGCGTATCGGGGCAGCTAAGCTTGTTCCTGTCCACCATTCTAGGACTGAGCCCTACGAGTACCAGTCTCAGCTCTCCCCTGGCCCTGTCCGATCCCTGCAGCTGTCCAGTTCTCCCACGTCCTGCTTGTGCACGCGCAGGGTTTTTTTTATCTTTTGCTCCAGCGGATTGTTCCTTGAGGACGCCTTCGGTCATCCAAATTGGTGCTCCCGCCGCAACGCTGGCCCCATTTCGGGATCGGCGCTGGACCCCCGTCGTGCAGAATGGCGCTCGCCCCAGCGCGGGCCACGCTTCTGGATCCGAGTCCTGCGCCGTCATTGCCGCCCCCGTCCGTTCCCCTCCTTTGCCCTTCCCTGGTCCTTCTGCTCATACCGGTCTTTCTGCTTGTGACGCTGCTCAGCCACCTTTTCCTCCTCTTCTTTCCTCCATGACTCGCTCCTCATCATCGTCCGCCGCCACTCCTCCTCCTCCTCCTCCTCCTCCTCCTCCTCCTCCTCCTCCTCCTCCTCCTCCTCCTCCATTCATTTTCCTTACACAATTACTCCCTGTCGCACCCCGAGGTCAACTTTTAGAGCGGGCCGGGCGTTTCGCCTGAGGCTTCCTCACCACTCATGGCCCTGAAGCATAAACATTGGCAACAGTTTCACAGATGGAGGGTAGGCCGTTTCCAAAATATGGCTCTCGCCTTAGCGCCGCGTGCATTTTTGATGAAAGAGTTTCACGGATTGAGAGCGGTTCTTTTTCAACATGTGGTTCTCGCCTTAGCGCCCCGCACATTCGTTGTAAATATTTGCAAGAGCTTCACGGATTGAGGGCGGATCGTGGCCCTGGATCAATCGCAATGTGCGCCAGGATCGCGGCCTTGGGGGCGCACATACCTCGTAGTTTACGAGGGCCCTGTCCCTCGGAGTGCGGCTCCTTCGGCGGAAGACGCCATGTGGTTTCGACAGGGTGAACCGAAACGTATTCGGGTCGTCCCAGTCTCGCTTCGTCTTGCATCGATTCGAACAGGGTCTGTTTGGCCTTGTTTTGGGTCTGTATGATTGCAACCAGCGCTAGACGAGCTCTGCGCTCAGGCAGCTTGAGCCTAAGATCCACGTCAGCTCGGCAAGGACTCGGATGCCATGGACGACCAGATCCACAACGCAATGGGACACAGCTCAGCTTAACACGGCATGGCGCAATTCAATTCAGCACGGCACATCGCAGAATCGCTTTTGGCACGCCACATCTCCCACGGCCAAGCGTTGCAGGAGCAATTCTCATTACACTCAGGAGGGAAGAAGGAAAGGCGGACCAGAGAGGGGTGGGGGATGTGCCGTCCGTCCGTCCGTCCTTTCTCCTCCCCTCCCCCTCTCCCCTCTGCCTTCCCCCTCCCCTCCCGAGACTCCCGCTTGTCCCCCCCCCCCCCTTGGTCAAGCGATCGCAAACATGGATCAAGGGGGCATAGATTAGCAACGGGCCCCGTTTCCAGGGGAAATCGCAGATCCCCGGCGCCGAACGAGGCGGCGCTTGCCGCATTTTGGGGAGGGCACCTCCCCCGATCCATGGAGGAGCATCCTTCTCGTGTGCTGCCTCCCGCCCCCTCCCTGGCGAGCACGCCACCTACCAAACCACCCCAACCCAACCCGAAGGCCTCCATTTGCCCTCCATTTCCAGTGGGGGGGGGGCGGGGAACATCGAAAAAACACGTATGGAACCCATACCCCCCCCAACCCGAAATTTGGGTCTTCGGGTTGGGTTGGGGGGGTCTGGTAGGTAGCCAGCTTGGAAACATGGCGGGACTCCTGCGCTCTGCCTCCTCCTCCGTCCCTCCCGCGCCCCCCGCTTTGGGGCCCGACCCTGGGGAGGACGAGGTCTTCGTGGCGACGTCGGTGGGCATGTTCTTCTTCGGCGTGCTGGGCCGAGGCCCGCCCCCCCGGGCCCTGCCCCCCCCCCTCCCGCGGGCCCGGCCGCGGGCCCTGCCGCGGGCGGGGCGGGCGGGGCGAGAGTACGGTAGGTCTGCGTCGTGTCGACCGGCGGCGACCCCGCCGCCGGCGTTCAACGTTGAACGCCGGCGGCGGCCCAGAATCGGTCGATGTTGAACGATCGGACGTTGCGGCAGCGGCCGATCGTTCAAGGTTGAACGATCCAGCGCGGTGTCAAAAACCAACGCCTGGGTCGGCACGACGCAAACCTGCCGTAGGGGAACAACCAGTGGCATAAGCATAAAAAACTCGGAGGTCCGCGCGGATTTCTCGGATCGGCGCTGGACCCCCCTCCCTGGCGCGCGGAGCGCGCCAGGGGCGGCGCCGGAGGCGCCGCCGGGAGGCCCCAGCGCCGATCCGAGAAATCCGCGCGGACCTCCGAGTTGTTATGTTTATGTCACTTTTTGTTCCCCCAGAGAGGCCCAGAGGTCAACGCGTTGCAAAAGTCAGGGCGGGGGGGTTTTGCACCAATCTCGGCCCCTGGGGCCCCTCGCCGGGCCTCGGGGCCAAGGGCGCCCTCGAGGGCGCGAAGTTGTTCGCGCTGCGCGCTTCGCGCTTCGGCTCCGATTCCTCATCCTCCTCTTCTCCCCTGGGAGGCGGCGCGAGAGCGCGAAGTTACTCGCACTTCGCGCTTCGCGCAGCGCGAAGCGCGAAATTGGGAGAGCCCTTGGGGACCGTCAAAAAACGCCTCGGGATGAAAGACCGGTCCTGGGGAACGGGTCGAGACTTCCAGGGGCCGCGCAGTGAAAAACTCTCGGGGGCGGGCCCGCGGAGGGAAGGCGGCAAGGACGGAGGGCCCGGGGCCCAGCCAGGCGGCCAGCCTCTCCCTGAGCAGTGCCTGCGCTGCCCGGGGGGGGGGGGGTATAGGCCCCATGCAAGGCATATCGCACCCCCCTCGGGCAGCCCTCACCTTCCTGCCCCCCCCCCCCTCGCCCCCAGGGCTATCTCCCTGCCCCCTCCAGGCCCCTCCGGGTTATCTTCCTGCTCGGCATCTGCCCGCGCCGGTTTTGCCGACAGGATTCCTTCGCTAAAAAGCCCGGGGGGGTCTGCCCGCCTCCGGTGCGGAGCCATCGCCTCCGGTAGCAAATCATGGGAGCCGGGCGTGCCTTTTTGATTCCGTCTTCAGCGTCGATGGGCGTGTGGGAGTCGGTGAGATAGCGCCGATTTAGCGTCGATGTAGCGCCGATTTAGCGTCCATTTAGCGTCGATTAGCGTCGATCCGCAAGAGCCGAGCAGACGGTATGAGAGGCTCCCACGAGTTGCCACCGAAGTCGCCTGCAGGCCCCCGCCCGCGGCTCTGCCTCGTGGCCGCAGGCCCCCAGGGAGGCCTCTGGGAGGCCACTCCTCCGGACTGGAGTCATGGGGTGGCGGTTCGGCGTCGCTTAATGGGGAGGCGATAGGTGATGGGCCGGTTTTCCACCAGGGCTGGACCTAAACGGTGTTTTGGCGATGTCGTGGGCCGTTTTCGTTTCGATTTCGTTTTGCTGTAAAGGCGGATTGAAGACAAAACGAGGGAAAACGAAAACAACACGAAAACGAAAAACACCGTTTAGGCTCAGCCCTGTTTTCCACCACCACCATAAGCTGGAGGGGGGAAGGTGGTGGAGGATGAGGAAGAAGAAGAGGAGGAGGACCCCCTCCCCCCTCCTACTTCTGATGGTGGTGGTGGTGGTGGAGAACAATCCACCAGTAAGTGGGGGGTGGGGGGGGGTGGGGGGGGCAGCGGGGGCTGCAGAAGAGGGGCCATCTAGGACTCCTGAGAGGGCCCTCGAGGGCCCAACAGGTGGCCTTCAGGGTCCGAAAGGTGCGCCTTTCTCCCCCCTCCCACTTTATCGCCCCCCATTAACTTGGCATCGCTAGGACCCGTGCACCTCTCGCGGCGAGGGCCATCGAGGAGCATCCCGGATCGATCATCGAGCAGCACGAAAACACGCACGGAACCGCAAAGTGCACGGGGACTAGACGTCCGAGCGATGGCGAGTTGAGCGACGCCCACGGCGGGGCGGGGCGGACGTGGGGGAGGACCCGGAGGAGAAGGGCGAGGAGGAGGAGGACGAGCAGGAGGAGGAGGAGGAGGAGGAGGAGGAGGACGAGGAGGAGGACGAGGAGGATGAGGACGAGGAGGAGATAGTTAGAGGAGAAGAGGAGGAGGAGGAGGAGGAGGAGGAGGGGGAGGCAGGAGAGCCGGGGGCAGATCGGGCAGGGAGTGGTGGGCCGGGGGACGCAGGCAGGAGGGCACCTTCGAGGGCGCGGAGTCGGTCGCGGCTCGCGGCTCGCGGCTCGGCCCCGCCTCCTCGTGCTCCGCTTCTGGCCCCAGGGGGGCGGCGCGAGGACCAGAATGTGTTCGCGATGCGCTCCTCACCACCCACCAAACCACCCCAACCAAACCCGAAGGCCCAAATTTATCCTCGATTTCCAGTGGGGGGGGGTCGGGGAACGTTGAAAAAACACTTGGTATCCGTACCCCCCCCAACCCGAAATTCGGGTCAAATTCGGGTCTTCGGGTTGGGTTGGGGTGGTCTGGTAGGCAGTCAGCTCCGCGCGAAGCGTGAAGTTAGGCGCCCTTGAAGAGAGGGGGGGGGGGGCAGATGGGGCCGGGTGGTGCGGGCCTCGGGATACAGGCAGGAGGGGACGGCGAGGAGAAGCCAGGTGGAAGGCCCGCGAGGACGCCCCTTCCGGCAGCCAGGGACCGACAAGGGGCCCAAGTTGGCGGCCCTTGGCGGTGACCTGTTGGCATGATTGTCCTGATCGGCGTGTGCGAGCCGAGCTAGGCCTCATGTGGGATCGTCTTGGGCCTTGGGCACTCTTGATGTCCGGAGAGGACGTCTTGGGTCCTTCTTGGGCCTTGGGGTCGTTTGGGGACCCTCTTGGGCTGCCTTGGGCTCCCTTTTAGGTTGCTGAAGATTGCAAATGCACCGATCTTCGACTTTTGGGCCTCTTGGGGGCCTCTTGGGGTTTATTGGGGGCCTCTTTTGGGCCGCTTGGGGGCTTCTTGGGGCCTCCTGGGGCGGAAGGACAAGATTTTCGGAACGCGTTTTCCCTCTTCGCCTCTCATGGCGCCCTCTTGGGCAGATCTTTGGCCGTCTTGGGCCCCTCCTTGGGCTATCTTGGAACCCTCTTTGACCGTCCTGGGGCCCTCGTAGAGGCCTCTTGCGCAGTTTTGGAGCGGTCTACGGGGCTTCTTGGGCCGTCGGAAGCCCGAGAAGACGATGACCCCAGAAACAATGAAAGACCGAAGGAACACTATTGATGTTTGCCTCTTGGGGCCATCTTGGGAAGGCTTTGGGGCTTTGGGGGCGTCTCGAAAACGTCTTGCGGCGTCTTGAAGCCATCGCAGGCGTCTTTGGCCAATCGTTCCGCGACTCGGCCGTCTCAGAACGCCTTTGAGGCCACGGAAGGCAGATTTGGAAGCTCCGGAGTCTCCAGGGGTGCGCCGAGGAGCCTTGATACACCCCCCCCGTCAAAAAGGATTTTGAATTCTGGGGCGGGGGAAAGGGGGAGCGGGACAGCCAATCGTCTTACACGCCTTCTCACCCCCGGCAAACGGGTGTCGGCGGACCACGGATTGTGGCTTCGGGAGGAGCGCGAGTTTGGCGTAACGAGCGAGGGATTGTGGCCTCGGGAGCACCAAGGCGTGGCAGGTCACAGGGAATTGCTCGAGTAGGGGGTCGACTGCAGAATTGATTTACCCCAAAATTAGCGTTCTCGTCGACTCTATAATGGTATACGCATTATGTTTGTATACAGTATATATATGTATATATTAGCATTATGCGCATTTGTAGATTCGACGGAAAATTGCATTCGGGGGTAGATCAGCTCTGCAGTCGACCCACACATACATACATACATACATACATACATACATACATACATACATACATACATACATACATACATACATTCATACATACATACATACATACATACATACATACATACATACATACATACATACATACATACATACATAGATATGTGTATGTATGTATATATATATATATATATATATATATATCGGAGTAGGCCGGGGCGGGGCCCGGCTGCTGCCTCTGGTCGCCACGGGGGCTCCCCCCGGCCATTTTCTGGCACCCCTCACGAGGATCGTGGCCCCTCGCCGAAAATTCCAGCCCTCAGTCTCCAGAAGCCTCCGAAGAGGCCACAAGAGGCCCCAAGTGGTCCCCTGAGGGCCCCAAGAGAGCCCCAAGAGGGCCGAAGAGGGCCCCAAGAGGGCCTTCTAGAGGCAAACATCTGCCCATGTCCTTTTTGTAAAACGTGCATTTTCAGCATACTCGCTGGCTTCGTCTTCACAGTGCCCCAGACGCCCCCGCGGAGCCCCAAGGCAGCCCAAGAGAGACCCAAGAGGGCCCCAGACGGCCCAAAAGGGTTGGCCTGTGGGGCTCACCGAACCCCCCGAGACGGCCCAAGAGGCCCCAAAGCCGGCCCAGGAGGCCCCCAAGACGGCGGCCTCGATCGAAATCATGTTCCCTGAAGCCTCTCCGGGAACATGATTTCTGGGTTCCGAGGACGCCCAAGAGGCCCACAAGACAGCCTCAGCGAGGCCCCAGAGGGCCCGATGTGGCTTGAAGATGGCCGAAGAGGGTCCCAAGAGGGCCTTCAAGAGGCAAACATCTGCCCAAAACGTATATTTTCAGCATACTTGCTGGCTTCGTCTTCGCAGTGCCCCAGACGGCCCAAAAGGGTCGGCCAGTGCGGATCACCGAACCCCCCGAGACGGCCCAAGAGGCCCCGAAGCCGGCCCAGGAGGCCCCGAAGACGGCCTCAGGGAGGCCCAAGAGGGTCCCGTTCGAAATCATGTTCCCGGAAGCCTCTCCGGGAACATGGTTTCCGGGCTCCCAGCGCTCCCTACTGGGCCCCAGGACAGCTTCAGCGAGGCCCCAGAGGGCCCGAGATGGCTTGAAGATGGCCGAAGAGGGCCCAAGAGGGCCTTCTAGAGGCAAACATCTGCCCATTTCCTTCGTAAAACTAACATTTTCAGCATACACTCGCTGGCTTCGTCTTCACAGTGCCCCAGACGCCCCCGCGGAGCCCCAAGACAGCCCAAGAGAGACCCACGAGGGCCCCAGACGGCCCAAAAGGGTCGGCCTGTGGGGCTCACCGAACCCCCCGAGACGGCCCAAGAGGCCCCGAAGCCGGCCCAGGAGGCCCCCAAGACGGCCTCAGGGACCCCGACAGGAGCACTTTGGTTGTGCTTGTGGTCGATCTGGTCGTCCTGGGCGCCCTCGTCGACCACGACCAGCACCGAGCCGATTTCGCTGTTCTGACGATTGTTGGCACGCGCAAGACATCCCCGAGGACGTGTCCTCGATGCGGTTGTGGTCGCTTGCTGTCCCGCACTCCGGCGGTGTCCTGCCGAGCGCCCCTTGGGCGCGGATCCATGGGGGGGTAATCTATCGGGGGGTAGCGAGGGCTGCAGCAAAGGGGCCCCTGCAGGGCCCTTTGAGGCCCCCGAGGGGGCCCGACGAGACCACCTTTCTCCCCCCATGTCATCACCCCCCAGGAAGACCTCGTCTGAGATGGAGCGATTCGTTGGATGCGCGAGCGGCCTTCCATGCATGCGTTTCCCTTTGGGCATTCTCCTGCTCGCCACAAGCGCGTCGGCCCCGCTTAGTCCCGCCTCGTCCGAGGCCCACTCCAGCGCCACGGCCCCCCAATGGGGCTTCAGCCTGCTTGATCTTTCCGACGAAGACCTCCCAGTAGTTGCCTCCTAAGCCCCCCCCCCGCAGTGCTCCTCGGCGGCGACGCTGGCACCGCCGACGGCAAGGAGGGCAAGAGCGACTGAGCCTGGGCCAGCGGCCGGCTGGCCGCCGCGGGCCCCTCGGCTCGGCCGTCGGCCGTGCGTCCCCTTTTATGAGCAGGGCCAAGTCGGGCCTGAACATTCAAGCACAATCAAGAGAACAGTCTCTGGGGGCGATCTTTTCTTGTACTTGTTGGACTATGTTGGGGGTATGTTTTGGGTATGTTTCGCCTTCCGCCCAAAAACCGCCTGTAGGGGGAGAGGCCCGACGTAAGTCTACGAGCATTTTACGAATTTTGTTTGCAGGTTCGACGAACGAATCCAGTCTGGGGCAAATTGACCCTGCACATTGACCCGTCCCTCAGCACGATTGAATTGATCCAAGGCGGGAGTTTATCCATAGCCATCGCTTGGGGATCGATCCTCGGGGACCTCGGCAGGCGGCGGACATGGACACAGTTGGGCCCCCCAGGGCCCCAAAATATCCAGATCCACTGCGCTCTGGGGTCCCAGGGCGTCGGTTCCCCAGGCAGCGGATATGGATAGATCCCCGCCTCTCACACGAATAAGGACAGAGTGGGCACGAAGGCCGCTTGTGGTTCCTGTTCATTTCGAACAGGATTCGCTGCCGATGTCGCCGCGGACTTTTTGGCCATTCGAGACAGAGAGTGACCTGCCCATCAGCTGCCGGTGTCGGTTTGGGACAACATCTCCTGTTGGGCATCGTGTTCAGTTTCTCTACCTATATCGAGCGTCCAAATTCTCCCCCTCCTTGTGAAAAGCCTGGAAGTGAGCCCAAGTGGCCCGGGGGGAATTGGCGAGGGGTGGGTGCGGGCAGGCGTCGTGCGCAGTGTTCGGTTCCAGGTCTCGCGATCTGCTTGTGTTCGGGGGCCGCCCTCGTCGCCTTGTGCCCCCCCCCCCCGCGCTCGCGCTGTTCTTGCAGGCCGGGCCGCAGCAGGGTGCAAAAGCAGCTTCTCGCGTGATGCGCATACCTATCCGCCCCTCAACACTCAGGAGGGACAATAACACACAGAGACACAATGAATCGTCGACCTGCAAGGAAATATGGGAATCTATGGGAAGTGGGGGTAAGACGAAATCCCCAAACTTTGGAAACACATGGGGAATCCTGTTATTTGTGTGTATTCATTTGTGTGTCCCTGGGCCCCGTTCAAACACAGAAGTATGGGCACCGTTCAAACACAGAAATATTGGAATCTATGGGAAGTGGGGGTAAGACAAAATCCCCAAAACTTTGGAAACACATGGGGAATCCTGTTATTTGTGTGTATGTATTGGTGTGTCCCTGGGCCCCCTTCAAACACAGAAGTATGGGGGGTGCACATTGCGGGCGGGCGGGCCGCCCCTCCTGCCCTCCCTCCCATCCCTTCCTGCCCCCCCTCCCCTCCTGCCCTCCTCCCCTCCCTCCCCTCCCTCCCTCCCCTCCCTCCCCTCCCCTCCCTTCTGGCCCCTCCTGCCCTCCCTCCCCTCCCCTCCTGCCCTCCCTCCCCTCCCCCTCCTGCCCTCCCTCCCCTCCCTTCTGGCCCTCCCTCCCACCCTGCCCTTTGTTCCGCTCCCCGTCTTCCCCTCCGCCTGGAGGTCTTCCTGGTCGATGGCGCCCTCCTCTGAGCGACAGCGAGGCCCGCCTCCTGTTTGCCCCCCCCCCCCCCCCCCGCCGTCACCCCTCTGGTTTCTGTCCCTTTTTCCGTCGCGCGTCATTTAGGCCGCCGCTTCGTTTATTGCGCCCTTTGACGCCGCCCGACTGTTCTCGGCGCGGTCGCGATCAAAACGTATTCCCGCAGGTCACCAGCCCATCTGCAGGAACGACTGGCGTGACAGTTCCCTATATATGTAGACACATACACACACATATATATATATACACATATTAAGACGAGTTGCGAGGCGCAGAGACGAGGGCCACACTTTGAGCCTTGGCCGCCCTCGACCATTGAGGCCCTTGCAATGTTCAAAACGAGAGTGCGAGGCGCTAAAGCGAGAGCTACAAAGGAACTGCCCTCCATCCGAGAAGTACTTGCAATTTGTTATGACAAGTGCGCGCGGCGCAAAGGCGAGAACCACATTTTGAAATCGGCCCGCCGTCCACCCGTGAAGTTCGTGCAATTTATAAGGCTCAGGATCACAGGTGGTGAAGAAGTCTAAGGCGCAACGCCTGGCCCGCCCTACTGACACGCGTCGTGGTGACGCAGGGATGAGCAGCTTAAAAGGAGAAGTAATGGAGGAGGGGGACTGGCAATAGTTAGTGGTGGCAGTCGAGAAAAAAAGGGAAGTGCAGCACGCGTGTCAGAAGAAAGTTTGGCTCAAAGTCCTTACCCAGTTCATGGACCCTTCAGGTGTCAAGGCACGCGTGACGTAACTTAGTGGGTTTCGGCGCGTTCCACTATTGTTGGTGTCGCCATTGCTAAAAGTAACTTCAGCGTGGATGTGTTTCTTCATTTTTTGATGGTTAATTCGCGCACGTCCATCGATCATGTGGTTTGGCGATATGTGCGAATACCATGTGGACAACAGGCTTCGACTCTCCTCCGTTCTCCGGTTCCTTCCTTATCGTATTCATTACTATTCTCCCCTTATTGCCGTCATTATCATTATCTTCGTTTCCCTCCCGCCGTCCGCATCTGCTGTCAGGGCCTGCGGGAGGCTCCAACAGGGTGCCAGGAGAGCCTCAAGAGGGCTCCGGGGCAGCCCAGGAGGACCCAAAGAGGGTTGCAAGCAGGCCCTAAGAACCCCCACGAAAGCCGTGTGGGGGCCCAGCCCTTCCTCCGCCCCGCCCTGCCTAACCTTCGATGCTTCGCGTATGCCCACCAGCCCAGCCAAAAACAGTCACCAGGCGAGTTGTTTTGATCAGGGATGCGTAGTAGCAGCATGCGGCGCCGCAGTGAGCCGCATCCGTGTTCGCGGGTTCTTAACAGGAGGATGAAGAGATACTCAAGTAGGAGAGAACAGGGAGGAAGAAGAAAGACGATGAAAGGGAACAGGAGGAGAAGGAGGAAGGTTGGGAAGGAGGAAGTGAAACGTGCTAGAGCATGAAAAGGTAGGAACAAAAGACAGAGGAACTTGAGGGAGGTAGGAGGAGGCACGAGTAGCCAAGGGGAGGCAACCGGCGCACAGGTGATCCGTGTGGATCACCCGTGCGCCTTGTGCCTTGGCAAGCGAACGTGTAGGAATATGCCGGAGGGGTTGGGAACAGTAGGCGGATGTAGTAGGAGTTAAAAAAAGGCAAGAACAGGCAGGGGTATGTAGTTGCAGAGACGATGCCCAAGCAAGTTGCGTGAATAAGGGAAGTGCAGCAACATGTCGCGCAACCAAGACGGGGACAGCCCATTCATCAGAATGGACAAGAGGTCGCAGGAAGACACGGAGGATGCCCAGGAACGGGGAGGGAGGAAAAGGAGGAGGAAATTGAGGAGGGGGGGGAGGAGGAGATGGACGAGGAGAGGGAAGAGGAATAACGGGAGAGGAAAAAGGACACGACGATGACAGGAATCAATCATCGAGGCCTTTTGCGGGTCTTTCACCCCCGTTGTTTGCTAGAAGCCCCCCGTGGGCCATAATGAAGCCTTTTTGGAGACCTCTTGGGTCCTCTTGGAGCCCTCTTGGGGCCTTCTTGGGGGTCTCTTAGGTCCCTATTGGAGGCCTTTGGGGCCTTCTTGGGGCCATCTTGGAAGCCGTCGGTCAAGGAAGGGGGGGTCCCAAACAGGGCCCCCTGCCGCTCTTGAGCCCCTAAAGTCGCCTCGTGGGGCCCTCTTGGGACGCTCTTGGGGCACCCTTGAGCGCCGCTGGGGCCGTCTTGGACCCCTGCTGGGCTTTTTAAAAGCCCTCTTTTGGCCAGCTTGGAGCCATCTTGAGGCCTCAAGAGCCCATGGGAAGCGAAAAGGCGGAAAGGCAGAACACATTGAAGCACACAATGGTTTTGATGGACTGGCCTCTTGGAGGCCTCCTTGCAGAGGTCGAAGGGCACCTGGGACCGTCCTGAGGCGGTCTTGAGGGCTCTTGGAGGCATGTTGGAAGCTATATTGAACCGTTCGCCTTGGGATATCTACAAGGATCTTGGAGGCCTTCTCGGGTTCCCTGCGGTCCCCTTGAAGCCATCTTGGGCCGTATTGAGCTCTCCAAAGGCGCGAGGCCACCCCCGTCCGGACCCATGAGAGGGGTTAGGTAGGGGGATGGGGGAACCCCTTCCCCGAAGGGGAACAAGGGGGTTGGAAGAACGCACTCGTCAAACCACTAACGCCCGAAAGGGCTGGCGGGATTCCTGTCTCCTTCCGTCCCTCTTCTGTGGCGTGCACCCCCCCCACTTCTCCTTAGCCTTCCCCTCCCTCCCCCCTCCAGGCTCCCCGCGAGGCCCAGTGAAAACTTCGAGGAGAAAAGCTCGGCCCGAATACCTCCACGAACACTTTGCGGATTTTTCCTTGGGCGCGCGTGCCGAAAAAACACGCGCGGAAAAATCCGGAGGGCGCCCGGGGAGGTTTCCAGGGCTGTATCGGAAAAATCCGGGCAGAATTCATTCAAGAATCCGGGGTTGTATTCCCAGGCGGCCGCGGAAAAATCCCACCAGCTTTTCAGAACGTGAGTGGTTTAACGCGTTTTTTCTCCCAACCTTTTCTCCCCCTTCTGGGAGGGGGGCACCCCTCCTCCTCCCTTGTCCCCCTCCCTGTGTCTGGACGGGGGGTGGCCGCGTGCCATTGCAGCGCCCAATATGGCCCAAGATTGCTCCAAGGGGGCCGCAGGGAACCCGAGAAGGCCTCCAAGATCCTTGTAGATATCCCAATAATCTTCAAGATGTTTCAATATAGCTTCCAACATACCTCCAAGGCAGTCAAGACGACCCTAGGACGGCCCCAAGTGTCCTTTCGACCTCTCCAAAGAGGTCTCCAAGAGGCCCACCGCGTCCTGGACCACATGGGGCACTGCTTGCATGGATCTCATGAGTTCGCCAGTGCTCGTTGCATTGGCATGGAGGGCGGTTTTCTCGCGGTTTTCTCTCACGTCTACCTGTTTCATCGTCTTCGACATGTTATTTC